TTCCTTGGTGGGGGAGGATCTCTAGGAGGGAATGTTGCAGCTGCTGTATTGCGTCGCACCCGGGTGGGGGGGGGGGGCGGCGGGACACCACACGTACGATGCTGCTTGGGTGTATCGAAGACCATTTCGGCGTCTTGAGGTTTGCTAAACCTCTAGTTAGCACGTCTTGGGAGCGTGCGTTCAACCTATCCTTGCCTCCAGACATAATTCCACAAAAGCTCTTCCAGGGGATGTCACCCTCGCCTAGTACAGGTAGACCGTTCTACCTGCGACCTGTTTGGTGTACGTAGCCTCCCCCGATTCTACGCGGATACCGCCATCTTGTACACTTCTCCCCCCCCCCCCTTTCGTCTCAAACACAACCCTAAGTCGGCGGTGTTGGTAAGTGAAACGCCCGTCTCTTTTCTTCCAACCGCAAGGCATGCATGTTGTCGTTGGTGGTGGTGATGTGGCGTTGCACGCAACTTTTTTACCGCGAACCTACCACACACACACACACACACACACACACACACACGGGGAGAGGCAGGGCACGTCTTTTACGCACGTCTGGCTCTACCTCGCACACCACCTCCCACCGACGAACCCGGAGGGGTCGACAGCAAGCTATGTACATAGCGGAAACTCGCGTGTAATGTAGGTACATAGACCTTACAGAAAAGGTTGGCGTCACAAAACGGCTCTGTTTATTGCCGACCAGGAGACACTCGACCTCGTCGTGGACAAGATCGAAACAATACAATACAATAGCCTCTACACAATAATGCTGGCACGACCGATAACATTCGGGGTTTCGGCACGCCACGTCATGTGATGCGCGACTTCGGAGGGAGTGATGCACTACGGAGGAGGTCGGCCCTCGACAATGCCGGTGTTTGCCCCGCGAATCGACCGACGCTGTCTTCAAGGGGCTCGGCGCTTTTTCCAAACTACAGCAGCACACGATGAATTCAGTCTGTGCCCAGCAAATTTCACTGGCGCTAGAAACAGGGCCGCCCGTGTCATTCAACCCCGGCGTGTTTGAGGGCCCACTACACTGCTGTAAATGGCACTTCTACTAAATACAAGCACCTCTCGACGCTGCTACGCCTACGCAAGTGGGAAGCGTGCTCGATCAGGTACTAGTGCTGTAACAGAACCCATCTGTGTGTGACTACCGGAAGAGGCGGAGAGATGGCAACCCCCCTAGGCCGACTTTCACAGCAGCAGCAGCAGTATAATAGTTCGATTGCTCCACAACCGATCGATCTACGGAAAACCCCTCGACGAGATGGTTCCGAAACCACCATCCTCGGTGTTGGCACAAGGTTGACTGCTGTGGAGCAAATCGAGCTTCGAAAATCGGTGTGTGTGTGGGGCGGGGGGGGGCATCTCTCCGCCTCTCATCGGAACATGCAAAACAGCAACATGTGTGTCCTACCGATATGATTTTAGCGGTTACGGGCATGCATGTCTTTATTGAGGGGGGGGGGCGGGGACAAAATCGAGTCGACAAGCGTGGCCGCGCTCCAGCAAAAACTCAACATTACCAACACCACCCAAAAAAAGGGGGGGGGGGGGGGGGGGGGGGGCAAAACCCCAAAACCCTCTAAAGAGGGGGGGGGGGGGAATACCCCAAAAAAAATCCCGCACCCCAACCCTCAACCCCCCAAACAAAAGGAAAAAAAAAAAGGAGCGGAAGGCGCGGCCAAATTTTTCCAAGTAGCTTTTAAACCGCGTACCCGGGAAATAAAAAAAACCCCCTATGGGCCTGCGTTTTTTCCAACGCCGGGGATTTTAACTGCCTTGGTCTTGTCAACCACCGCCGGGGAGGGTCCTGAACGCCCCCCAAAAAGCCCAGGCCCCCGGGGGGGTGAACAAAAATATAAAAACGGGTGTGTG